AAAAAAAAAAAAAAAGCAAGATTTCCTCAATCCAACAACCAAACGCCTCCCCTCACGTCAGTGCTGCCCCATCCAGACTTTACGGAAATCTGGCTCTGCATGATTAAGACTGATTCTCTCACTTACCCCGGCTTCATAAACACTCGGCCAAAGTGGATTTGGGCATGGAGGTCTATATCCAGAACTTGCTTCAGGTAGTCCTGAAAAAAAAAAAAACAGACTTTTGCATGAGTGTTTACATTTCTCCTCTTATGTAGGACAACACATCTATCCGCGCCTGGTGAAGTGAAACATCGGGTAATTAAAGAGCTTTAATTAATAGGGCGGAAAATCAAGAGCAAGAGGCAGTCAGTGGACTGCTGCCTGGGCAAAGACCCAAAATAAAAGGTCAGATTAACAAATGCTGCTTTGTGACAAGAAAAAGCAGATACACTAGATGGCACTAAAACATACGGTGACCTGTGGCATAAGCTCTTAAAAGAGTTCTGCTCTGAGATCTCATGGCCTCGGAGTAAACCGATGGAATCCTCTTCTTGACATGAAGCAGATTTATCTGTGAGGCCACATTCCTGTAGTGAGAAGCTTGGACATTTCAAGCATGTGACCTTTCATTAGGTTACAGCTCTTCCAGACAACCCCATCAACTGACCTTCTCACCCATGGACACGCCCCCGGAGGTGATGATGACGTCAGCACGACTAATGCCCTCGTGCAGGGCGTTCAGCAGGTCGTCTGGGCTGCAGGGGGTTAGAAAACATGTTCATGCCAAATGACTTGCAATTTTTTTCTTTGCAAAATCCATTTCTAGTATATTGGTGAAGTAAAAAGTGTAAAATGTTTGCTTATACTATCATTATTAGTGCAAATATAATGTAACCAATAACCTGAATTTAATATTTTTATTAATCACGGACACGTTCAATTGATTAAAAGTAAAAGTTTTTACATTCTTACAAAAGATTACTATTTCAAAAAAATGCTGTTCTTTTAAAACTTCTACTCATCCCGAGGGGGAAAAAAAAACATGTACAGCATCACAGTTTCCACAAAATTCTACAAAACAGATATTGATCATAATATTTGAGCGCCAAATCAGAATATTATAATGATTTCTGAGGGATCATGTGACCCTGAAGACTGCCATCACAGGAATAAATACATTTTAAAATATATTAAAATAGAAAATTGCTATTTTAAATTACAATAATATTTCACAATATTACTGTTTTTACTGTATTTATTATCAAATAAATGCAGCTTTGGTGAACGCAAGAGATATCTTTAAAAAAAGTTAAAAAAATAAAAACCAACCTCAAACATCTGAACATTATATTATATCATATTATGATTTAATAATATAATTATAATTATTAAATTATATAAATATTTCTAAATACAAAATATATTGTTATATTTTATATTTATACTAAATGTATTAAGTACTTTACTCAAAATTTCATATCCACAAAATGAGGACAGCACAAAAAAAGCATTAATGACTTCAAGAAAAATATTATAGTTCATTCAGATGAATGCAGAAAATCACTTACAACAATATAACTGACTTATCACTGCTTTTAATTACTTATCACTGACTTATCATTGTTAACCTATTTTATACATGCTCCTTATACATATTATACATCTATACATCCCTAAAGTATATGTATGCACATATAAATAAAGACGAAAAAATTATTCCGAGCACTGCAGAAACCGCTGTCTTTCAGTAAATTCTGCTGTAAATCCTGTATCGATTCTAATATATGAGCTGGAGTTTCTGAGGAGTGCTGAGGTTGGAAAGATTTAGACATGTGCAGAGCTGACTGTGTGTGTGTGTGTGTGTGTGTGTGTGTGTGTGTGTGAGAGGGAGGTGAGGAAGGGATGCTGACTTGTCTCCGACGATGCCGAGGTTGATGGTGGGATAGCCGTGTTCCTGAATGGTGGCCAACAGTGTGGATCGGTTACTGTCCCTGATCTTGCCTGGGTGAAGGTCATCTTCAGGGTTTAACAACTGCATACATAAGCATACATAAATTTACACATACATTTAAAAATGTTTTAAATTACCATGGGCAAAAGAAAGTAACAAAGCGACACACAGAAAAGTCCTACCTCATTGCCAGTGGACATGACTGCTACAACTGGGAATTTCTGCACCTCCACCTCTGTGACTCCAACAGTGGCCAGGAGGCCGATCTCAGATGCACCCATGTGAGTGCCCTTAGCCAGCACACACTCTCCACGCTTGATATCATGTCCTATAGGCCTGTGTATGACAGAAACAAAAAAAAGTTTAACATCAGCTTTTATAACACCAGTTTTTATAACTCAAAACAAAGGAGACTGATTAATTCCTCATGAAAAAGACGAAATGTGGAATAATGCCTATTCACATCACTGAGCATCAAAACATGATACACGTACATACACTTTTTTTTAAAGAAATTAATACTTTATATAGCAAGGATGCATTAAACTGAATACAAGTGTCAGTATAAACACTGAAATTCCACAAAAATATTAAACAGCACAACTGTTTTCAAAATTGATAATAATAAGAAATATTTCTTAAGCACCAAATCAGCATATTAGAATTATTTCTGAAGGATTCAGAATTGTCATCACAGAAATACATTACATTTTAAAATATATTAAAACAGGAAACTGTTATTTTAAATTGTAATAATATTTCGCAATACTACAGTTTTTACTGTATTTTTGGTAAGATAAAAGCAGTCTTGGTGAGCATAAGAGACTTCCTTCAAAAACATCCAAAAATCTTTTTTCAAAGAAAATTCTGCATCAAACATGGATGCCAGTACGTTTGATGAAAATGGACTTGTACGAATGGATATACAGTAAAGATAAAACATATTTGGTCAGTTATAAAAAGTCTTTGGCATTTTTTGAGGAAATAAACCTCAGTCCCACTCACCTGATATCCTGTCCTGGACGAGCCTGAACCAGGATCCTCACCTCCAGCTCCTCTGTACCCTGTAATTCATAACCAGCCAGATTGAGACATGCACACACATGAATGACATTGGACTTTCATTTATATGAGAAGTTGCTAGACACTGTTTACAAGTGTGTTTGTGTGATGTGTTTCTTGCTTTATCCATATTAAATTAAGATAATACAAAACATACTATCACAATTTCCTTAAAATTTACTGCTGTATAATTTATAGTAATTATGCATTCATAAATTCCTTGTGTTGTTCTCTATATTTTAAATATATTTGTTTGTTTTTCTTTTTAATTGTTTTATACTTTTAACTATGCATGTTTTTGCACTTATGCACTTTTGGGACCAAATACACGAAAATTGTCCCCTTAAGCTAGCTAAAACTAACAAAATTGGGCGCATCCTCAAAGGCAGAAATTATTTATGAAAAATACTTTGTTGTTTTAGGGAAATGGTTGACTTCAAGTTAAAGTTATTTATTAGAAATTTGAGTTTTTTTTTTGTTTTTTGTTTTTTTTTTACATATATTAATTAAAATAGTTAAAAATAGTTTGCGGTTGAGAATGTTATATACTTACGTCTTCAGACTCTCGAAGCAGTTCTGTGTCTTCTACTTGCACTACGGCGTCTGCACCACACGGGATAGGAGCACCTGTCGTCACCCTCATCACTTGGCCTGGCATAACTGTGAGAGTGGGCTACAGACAGAAAAAGATCTTTAACCACTGTATCAGAAAACATCCATGTGTACATCATTGGTGTGAAAGCACAACTACACTAATGTTGCATCCTTCTGAAACTGGGTTAAATTGATACTTTTCCCACAAAATGACACCTACATACATATACATTGTTATTTGTACCAGAGTCATATGGCATTAGCTGAGAAAGCAACGGAATGACCCATGACTCGAATGCAAACACACTCTCCAGACAGAGCACTGTACGGACGTCAGTCTTGAGCACTGGAGTGCTGCACACAGCCCATGGGGATCTCCCCCTCTTTCTCTCTCTGTCTCTGTGTGTGTGTGTGTAATGCACTCATTACACACGCTCACTGAGTCTGAGTTTTCTTGCCATCTGAGCACACAAGCCTCCTGCAGACACAAGGTGCCAGTGCAAAAGCAGGCATTTCCCGTGTATGTGTGAGGGAGAGAGACTATGTTCATGTCAGGTTTTACTAGTCTACTAGACTAGTTTAACTATCTAGTTTCTGTTCGTGTAACATACCTGCTCCCCAGCCTGAGACTCTCCAATGATGAAGCGGTCACCAGGGCCATCAGCCGCTGAAAAACAGTAAAAAGAGTAACTCAATTAGTCATTTTCAAAGGGTTTATAGGTTTGGTGAAAGAGATTGTAACGATTAAAGTTAAAAACAAGACTGTTATATATCTATTACGCACATTACAAGAAATTAATATGGATAAAATGGAAATAATCATAAGTTCTGATGATTATTTTCTTTTCTTTCTTTTTTTATATGTAAAAAAATAATGAATACTTTATTCAGCAAAGTCACCTTAAATTGATCAAATGTTGCAGTAAAACATTTATATTATTACTAATGATTTATATTTTAAATAAATAAATAAATGCTGTTTTAACTTTCTATCCATGAAAAATCCTGAAGAAAATGTATCATGTTCTGCACCAAAAATATTAAGCAGCACAACTGTTTTCAACAATAAATGTTGCTTGATCACCAAATCAGCATATAAGAATGATTTTTTAAGGATCATGTGACACTGAAGACTGGAGCTGAAAATTCAGATTTGCCATTACAGGAATTAAACTATTATAATTCAATTATACTTGATGTTAAAACTTTCACTTGATGTTAAAACTTGACATTTGTTGGGGCAGTGTTAACTAGCCTTAAGACTTGTATACAAAAACTTTGATGTGCAAATGCATGTTTATGGGCAGGTTATGTTGTTTTATTATTAGTTATGTGATTGTTCTGCTCTTACACTCCAATATTTTGGTGTTCATGTGGTAAACGAGACCATGCGGAGTGAGTAATTTTGCAGTAATGGGTATTCACCTCGAACAGCATAGCCATCTTTAACTGATGCAGGGAAAGGTGGCAGGTTGTCTTTGGCGTAGACGTCCTGAGCCAGAACTCGACCCATTCCATCTACAAACACAGATAAAGGACAGAAAAAAGCTGTGATGCGCCCAAATCATGAATACAATAAAAATGTAAACAAGTTAACATCTGTGTAAAAGTCAAAAAGGGGAAATGTGCCAAGATCAGAGGCCAGAAGACGCTATATGAGAAAGCAAATGAACACATGCAGTCATACAACATTAAAAGAGGGATGTAAGAATGTGAGGGAGGAGATGAATATGTGCATTGTCTTAACTAATAAAATATGACAAATAATGTATATAACATATATTATACAATCGAAAGCTATGAACTGCCAATTAAACATTTTGTGTTATATGTTTAACTAACAAGCCTGCTAACCTTGCATACAAGTCACTACACATTGGTGCAAATGAATACACCATTATCTAGCTAGCACTGAAACAAAAAGATAACCCATAACAGTGAAATTCTGATGCTCTTAAACAGTGAAATAACATCCCTATTCCTTAAAAATTTGAAAAAAATAAATAAATAAATAAAAATACACTTTTTATAAAGCTCTTATAATCTATAATCTGCAGTGGTCTAACATGGCATATATGTATACTTATGTATGATTAAAGCTACTAACTTTGCATACATGCAAGTTACTACACATTGGTGCAAGTTACTACAAAATTATTATTTTATAATGTGTAGCTAATACTGCTACGAAAAGATAACCCATAAAAGTTATTGTGATTTTGATCTAGATGAATATCTTTGATTATCTATTTTGATTATCAAAGTTATTTTCATTATCTAGAAGATCCATTTTTGAACAATGGCTACCTCCTGGGGGGGGGTACCAAGATGCTGAAGGTACCAAGAAAGTTGTTCCTCAAAATTAAATTATACTTGTTTAACACGTAAATTGTTGACATCCAGGTCAAAATGCCAGATGCAGAATGTCCAGGAATGTATTTATACTAGGGCTGGGCAAAAAATCGAATGCGATTTTCATGCGAATCTCGTCACTAAAGCCGCTTCTGGTGATTAGTAGTAAATCTCCAGCACGTGCTTTCAGATGGAGCGGCATTTACTACACAGAGCCGTAGATCACTGACAAGCTACACAAAATCGCGTTCAAAATCGCAGGCGATTCATTGCCTTAACCCTCTACCGCATGGTGTGGCCATATGGCAACATGGTCTTTGTGTTCATTTCCTTGCCATATGCTGTTGCCGTATGGCAACATATCATAAAGTACCTTAAAATAATATTTTTTTCAAAAAAATGTTTTACAGCACTTCAAGTTAAGCCATTCTTAGAAAAGAAAAAGAGTCAAATATTTTTTTCTATAGGTCTATCATAATGCGTGCGGTAGAGGGTTTGCAACAAGCGCCCTCCCACACATGAAAAGAAGAAGAGAAAAGAGAGATGACAGACAGACAGAGAGAGAGAGAGAGAGAGAGAAAGAGGGGAAGGAATAAAGAATAAGGGAGAACCAGAAGGAAAGCGAGAGAGCGAGAATAAAGAGAGATGGAAAAAGAAAAGAACGAGAGAGTGCAAAGGCACTCTTGTAGAGATAAAGCACACGAATGAGAGAGGGAGAACGCGCTGATGCTAATGAGGCCTCTCCTCGGTTGGAGGCTGATTAGAAAAGACTTATTTCTCTAAAACAGCACATCTGACGAGGCTCTAAATATAGCGCGTGTCTGGATTGGGAGATCAAACAGATGGGTACGGTGTTATCTACACACAGAAATGAGTACACAAGCGTGCATCACAGAGCGCTGACAACCCAGTCACCGTGAAACTGCAACGATTCCCTGCAGCTACAATACAACAAGCCCAGATCTACTCAACACAGCCGAGCACAGGCCTGTAAAGAGACCACATGTAAGCCTGAAGTCCATACCAAACGCTGTCATCTGAAATGAATGCAAAAACAATGCTCCTAAAACTGATTCTAAAGGGTGATCTAGCACTCAGCTCATTTTATATGTACAAAATCAAAGGAAAATAATTGTTTATAATACTAACCAGTTCGGTCATGACACCTAATAAATCTTATATTAGATCATGATATAAAAATGTAAAAAAAAAAAACTGTCTCTGCTGTCCTGGTTGAGATGTGCAACCGTAACAAAAACAAACACACACACACACACACACACAAAAGAAGGGTTCTCTAAAGTGCTTGGCGTAATGGACAGCAGTATTGAGGATGGTGATTCATTGCTATAAAAAATACAAATTGTACATGTAAATATTGATCATTCAGAAATGAAAGAAATTTAAATAGTCTAAGCAGGGAAGCAAACCCAAAAATAGTCAAATGTAACACTCTGAAAGAGTGAAATAATTTCCCTAACCCTTTAAAAATGTGAAAAAGGCTTTTTTTTTTTTAAAGCTATTATAATCTATCCTTTAAAACTAGAACAAAAAACTAATAATAATAAATTGCTTTTTCTAAGCATTTTGTCTCTTTAAAATCACCCTAAACAATTCTAATCAAATCAGCCATCATATTAGCCAATCACATAGTACTGTTCAACGGTTTGGGGTCATGGACCTTCTAATCATCAAAAAGTCCTGAAAAAATGTATCAGTTTCCACAAAAATATTAAGCAGCACAACAGTCTTCAATGCTGATAATAAGAAATGTTTCTTTAGCAGCAAATCAGGATATTACAATGATTTCTGAAGGATCATGTGACACTGAAGCCTGATGTAATGGCTGCAGAAATTTCAGCTTCACCAGCATAGGAATACATTACTTATCAAAATATATTTAAAATAAAAATATGGTTTAATTTAAATGGTTTTCACTGTATTATTGATTAAATAAATGTAGCCTTGATGAGCATGAGACTTCTATCAAAAACTTTTAAACAGTAGTGTATGTAGACATAAATTTACAGCAATATCTGCAAACGGTTTTCGGTAATTTATAACTGGTGCATCGGAAACTCTTACTTGTACATCAACATCCAGCAGAACAGACAGTTCCACCTCAGCATACTCTAATGGCCAATCTTCTCCAAGGCCGAGACCATTTATACATTTTAAATTAATTTTATTAACCGAGGTGACAGAGAGAGGTTTTAAAACAGACAGCCGCTCATAACTTACACCCATCTTGTTATATGAACAACGCATTTCAAAAATTTATGAGCAACATTTCATGGCTGGGTGAGGATATTTCCTCTATTTACGCTGATCTGGACCTGCCCTCCTTGCGCTCGAGCTGAGCTGAAAATCCATCACTTTTAATCTGTCAGGAAACAGTGAAGCTCTACACAGTCACTGATAGAGTAAAGGCACAATGTTTGAGGTGCTGGTGGGTTTTGTGAAAAGAGGTGATGTCAGAAAAGCTTTTGTATTGAATGTTTGCTTTAAGTTGGGGTTTTTTGTTGGCTTTTGTAGGCAAGCACACTGCCATCTCTAACCGCTGCGTCATGCATCACGATTGATGAGTTCACAGGCTTCCATAGCATCAGTCGTGGGCAAATGATCTGGAACGCAAAATGACAACACAAAACTCTTCCAAACTAGGCCATTCTCCATGGATAAACCAAACCGACACAGCCAAACATGGAACATGATTCTGTTCTCTGACTATTAATGACAACCATGACATGTTCAAATCAGTGGAACAAGCTAAAGGAAAACAAAAAACTCCAAGGAATCACTTGTCTCTGATAAGCTGAATCCCAATTCGACATACTATACGTAAGAGTTTGCACACATTAAT